GGTAATTTATGCATTATACCAATCACTGAAGGTGTTTACAGCGTTGTGAAGAAGACAAAGGCTAATGCTCTGCATTTACGTTATGTGATTACATTTTAATATGCCCTATTAAAAATATGCCCTTTATATTTGCTACAGTAATAAACATAATCAATAACGAACATTTTAACATGGTTTTGGGGATTATTATACAATACAAAGACAGTAACTTCGAATAAGGGTTCCTGTGTCGCATGGTGTACTCTCTCCGTGCTGTTCACCCTGGCTCACCTGTGGTGAAATAATGGACAAGGTTGAATGAATGTCCAAATGAATTAAGTTGCAAGGTGTTATTTATCATGCTAAAGCTACAGATATGAAATTCCTGTGTTAAAAGACAAATTGAGAAAGAGACATACTTTTTTTTTAAAAAAGAAGATGAAAGCTAGCATTTCTTTCAGCAATACGTTTCAACATTTTGTATTCGTACTGTAAGTATTCATATTCCAGAGTGTGTTCCTTTTGTAGGCCATGCTTATAGTCGGATTAATTGACAATCATAATTTATCCTCATTAAAAGCCTTTTCCTGTTGCTTGTTATCTGTTTGAAGTCTTATTAATTTCACTCGGCTTGTGCATCCCACAGCGTTAACTTCACCTCTTCACAGTGTTCCTCATGACGTGTCTAATGTTCAGTTCCTAAAGTATTCCTGCATTTAAGGTGTGGAGACTCCTGTATAATCAGGGGATTTGGGGGAGGAGATGTGGGGAGGGTTTCCCCACTTACTTAGATAATGGATAGATGTTAAGCCCTGTATAATCGTGGCTAGCTTTCCTTCTCGAGGAAAGAAAAAAATGTTGTTGCTTTGCTATCTTGTCGTAGGTTTGTAGGCTTGGAAGAACATAGAATATTGTTTCTCTTCATAAAATCTATCTATTTTTCACTGGAAAAAAGAAGTAATAGACTACATTCTGATTTAAAACAAGGTAATTCTTTGTATTTTTCTCTTCACTCATGTCCAAACTCTACCTGTTGAACAAGGAGTAGAGTTGTTCTCTACCCACAAACAAGAACTTTGCAGCGAGGCGTGAGGCTTCATAACCTGTCAGTGGCAACCAAGAAATTCAGACTTCTTTGTTGTCAGTAATTTATTTTAATGGTATAAAGGGGCACAGGATTTCTTACTTCTTTTTTCTTTTAATTCTTTAACAAGCTTTAGTTTTCATTTCAGTTCTGCAGTGTTGGTTTTTTCTAACCTTTCTACCTGTGATATATTTATACTGGGCAGCTCAATCCATGGTCCTCTGGAGTGTTTTGGTTTTGATTTTTTGAATCTTTTTTTTCAAGTTCCAAATAATGGTTATTCGTATTACCTGGAAGGTAAAGCAGAGGTGAACATAAAATTAAATCAGTTTGCTTTCTGATAACCTGGTAATGGGTTCTGGCATAAGATTTGATAAAGTCTCAGTAAAAGTGTTGCCATTTTAATAGTGAAGCTCAGCCACAGGTAGAAAAATATCTTAACAAACCTAATCAGTATTTAGTATTCAAGGAATATTTGATTTTCCTGACCTTTTATGTCATTCTGTTTTCAAATGTCATTTTTTTTTATAGTGCCTAAAATAGACTTTATTAGTTTTCCTGAAAGCCATGTGCAGCTTTACTTTGGCCCATTTAAATATTGAAAACAGCAGGATTTGAGATTTTTCTTATAATCCTCAACTAATGGAGTTTAATGCTTTGTTTGGCCTACCCTACACAGCCTAAGCAAAAGTTTTAAACAAGATTAAAAATATGACCTTATTAACCCATGGCATCTAAGGTACGGAGCAGGCCTGCAGAGCCATCGGTTGGTCGCTGGCCGGGATAGCACGGGGCCGTTCCCAGGCTGCTCAGGCTCTTCCAGAGGAAAACGTTTTGGGAGCCTAGCTTTTTCCTTCTGTAGCGTCGGCCATCGTGCCAGCACCCAGGAATAAGAAAGAAAAAAGCAAGAATCTTGTTTCTGAGATGAATACTCGGTCTTCGTGGCTGGGCGAGATAAAGTTCAATTAGTTTTGGAAATTTGAGGTGCAACCTGGCTGGGATTTCTCAAAAGCAATTCTGGCAGAGCAAAGGGCTGGCCAAAGTGGGGTTTAGCTTTTGTTTACTGCAGGTGATTAGTCCCCAAATAAAGTGAATTTCACCTTTCTTTTTGTGATGAGAAATTACAGTTGCACGTAAGCTGTTGGATGGCCAATCGACGAACGTGCTGAGTGTCTCATTGTCATGGAAAATTTATGCTTAGTAAACATTACAAAACACAGAATGACATGATACATTCACTGCAGTGTAATAAGATTCCTTGTTTACCAGACATGCTATAGGGCCATGGCAACAAAACCAGAAATAGGAACTATGAGTATTCTTGTTGTAAAGATGATGATGGTTATCAAGCAGTTTGCTAATTGCTGGAGTTTGACATCACTCTGTATTCATTATCACTTTGCAGTGCTGCTGGTAGTGTGAGGACTGGTGAAGAGGTGTAAACATGAGCGTTTGACCGAGACCTGTAATGAAAATACCATGTTTTATTGTACAGTGTGGAAGAGTTGGGCAAATGTGCTCTTAGCTAGTGCTTTGTGTTCGTTATCTGCAAGTGCTGTAGAGGAGGGAATAGGACATAGAGTTTGGTGAGGGAATAAGGAGATCAGAAAACTTTAAAATTCTGCCTTTCTGATGGTGCTCCAAAGCAAAGCAAAATGATGTTATTTCTTTACTTGATCCTTTACAAATACTGCTATTGTGATTAACTTTTAAGGATATCGGTTGCCCTTTTTATCTCAATGGGGCAGAATCTGGTTGCACGTTCATTAAGTTCAAGACGCAGCTGAAAACTGGACGCAAAATCAAGCCAGGCAGATTGCTTACACTGTCAATGGTTATCACTTCCTGCTTTCATAGCGTTATTTAAATTTTTTAATAAAGGAACATTTTTAAGAAACGGAAAGTGGCTGATGGCTTTGCACTTGTATGCGCCCTAACTGAAAAATACAGCATTTGTACACCCACTGCACATCTTGGTTTGTGGACTAGAGTGTTTGTTAAGACCCGAGGCAATAGAAGGCATTGAAGATGGGAGGGAAGAGGGTGAAAAGGCCTCAGTTTTCCCCCTCTTCTCCTGTCTTATTTCTTTTCCTTAGTTCAGTGCTTTTGGCCTTTCTTGGCTCACTGCCTTGTTCCTATCAGTGAATCCAAATCCCTCAAGCAAAAAACTGGTGATCTTCAGGAATAAGGTGGTCTGTGGGTAGATCAGAAAGTCTAGGGAAACCAAGAAGTTACGTATGACTATTGATGGTTTAATTTTCTTTCTGCATGAAGCTTTGCCGGTCTTGCTCGCCCAGCCCCAAAGTTTTGAGCGCGCTGCGGCGCTCAGTGATGAGGAGCGGACATTCAGGGACAGTCGTGTTTGTGTTGGGTAGGTTCTGCTGCTTCTGGAGATGTGCTCTCCACACAGCAGTGCATCCCCAGCGAGGAGATTTGGTGCTGCTGTTTGCTTTCCATCTGTCAGAGCAGCATTTGCTTCACCATCGCGCTTGCACCGCTGTGGAACGGACGGTAAGGTCCTCCACGGCCCCATGGGGTTTGCCTTGACCCTGTCTTTTACAAAAGTTGCATTTTTCTTTCACTTGATAACCGAAATTCCCTCCCCTCTTGGACGTCTGCGTCTGCCTTGTTATTTAAGTAGTACTTTTTTTTTTCCTCCTGCTCTTCTGCATTCTTGATTGGTGAATAAGCTTTCAGTTTCGTTTCGGTTGCTGGCTGTGAATAATTATAGAAATGAAAAAGTGATGAAGCATTTGCCATATGACTGCTTAATTAACTCAGTCAGTTGAGGTTTCTAAGCTGCGGTCTGTAGGCTGAAAGCACGAGCGCTACCTTTGAAAGGATTAAAAAAAAGTTGGAAGTTTAAAGTCTGGGATGCTGTCCTGGAAAATGCTAGTTTTCAAAATGAAAAAAAATATGAAAACTAGTTGGTGTAAATGTTCGGATAATGAAAGCATTCTGTAGAAACAGTTTAATGACGATTAAAAGGTCACTTAGAAAATGTAGCTTTGTTTTTTTAGTAATTACATGGCTAACTTGGTTTACCTCAAAGTAGTAATTTTATGCTGTATATAGCAAGAAATTAATAAAGTAGAAATGTTGTCATAGTGCAGTACAATTAAGTTACAGTTTACAGACTCAGTACTGGTAATACCTTGAGGATGCTAACTCCTGGTTATACTAAATGTTTGATCGTGCATTTCGTTTGATTGCACTATTTAGCATTGAAAATAACTACCACCAGATCTGATATAAAATGCAACACAAATGCAGTAGAGGCAATGGTTTGCACTCGAGCTTGCTTGAGCCTGTTATGCTTTTAAATTTGGCTGCAGTTAATCCCAAACGATAGTGCTCCTGTGGAGCATTCCAGGTGGTTTCCAAGCCTACTCTTCTGCTTGTAGTTAAAAGGTAATTCTACATATTTGGATTAGCTCTTTATTATTTATTTCAGATTTTATGTCCAAACTGTTAGTCTGAATGTCTCTGTTAGGTTGAGTTCTCTGCTCTGGCTTTTTCTGCTATGACATCTGTTTTGTGCTTTAGTTTTTTTGTACTTTTAATAACTTAGCCTTTTTTTCTCTGTTTCCAGTTTGTGCTTTTCTAAATAACTTCCACACATATCTAGTATTTTGCATTCAAATGAGTAAAAAATCTGTTTGATTTTGCAGAATGTCTTAGTCCTACTCTGAGACTGTAGTAAGTTTTTATTTAAGCATAATCAGACACTGCTTTTTGGATACAAATACCTGTTTACTGTGTAAAGTAGAAAAGTTAGGAGATATGTAATCAAGTCTACAGAAGTGTTCAGTGAATGAGAGTGCTTTAGTCAATAGTGACATTCTATTTGATAGAATAACTTTCAAGTGTGTGTCCTGCTTCAAAAAGATACTCTGCTTTCCTGGCTTATAAATTAATAATGTATTTTTTATTACAGGGAGAAGAGGATGAAAATTCAGGATATAAAAAACAATATTAAAGAAGCTATAGAGGTAAACTAACGAGCTTTGTTTGTAATTATTGAAAGCCGGCTACTTAGACACTCCCTGCATTATTTTACTGTTATTTCTTTGCAGACAATAGTGACAGCAATGGGCAGCTTGGTACCTCCAGTTGAACTTGCCAATCCAGAGAACCGGTTTCGAATCGACTACATCTTGAATTTAGCTAACCAGATAGACTTTGATTTCCCACCGGTAAGTAAATAATTCAGTTTGGCTACAGTCATGCTTTTTTTTTTTTTTTGCAAATGATTGTATTTCACTGCACTGTAGTAAATATTTACAAAAAACAGCGAGCTGCTCTTAGGGGTTTACTACAGTGGGTGTCTCTGGTCCGAGCTGGTCAAATAAAGAGTGTAGTGACACAGGTGGCATATTCAGCCGAATCTTTGTGAGGACAGAGACCCCTCTCTGCTTTCTTGTGCTCTGTTGAAATAACCAGCTACAGAACCACAATGAAGAGTGCTGGCAGTCACGTTTGGATGTTGCTGGGCATTTCCCTGCCCAAAAGGAGTGCAGGTGTCCACAGCAGGCTGTTGATGATTAGCTGGCATTTAGGGACACGGCATGTCTCTCTCTGGAAGAACAGTGGAGTTTTCTTGCTGATTCAGACGTTCTCCGGCGGCTGTGGCAGCCAGGCTTTCTGCAAAGGCTCCACACGCGACGTCCTTGCCCCAGCCCCTGGCGTCCTGGTTAATCATTCAAAATGCCAGCAGTCCCAGAGTAAATGCAGAAAGAATAATTATTTGGTTGGTAGTATAACTTTGTGCCCATTCACTGCGATGAATTTCAACTTTATCTCAACCAGGCTAGTAGGAGAAGCCCATGAAAATACAGTTTGCAAGGACTGAACTCTTAAACACTGAGAAGATATTTTTATTAATTATCATGAAGTACCGTGTACTTCTGGTAATACAGGAGTGTTTCAAAGCTTGTGTTCTCTCTCTGTGCACTCTTCCAGAGGGCTGAGGGTAGGAATTTTGCTGATGACTAAAAATCATGATCCATTTACACCAGAATTTTGTATCCAGCAGTAGTCTGTCCTGAATGCCTGAAAGGAAAGCGCAAGTGCAAACAGTAGTAAGATGTGGGATAGTTTGCACCACAGCAAGGTTTTCGTAACTGATTTGTAAATATTATTGAACAAGGTAGTCTGTGAAACCAATGATAGCCAGTCACCTTTTGCAACTGTTGCCTCTTCTGGGAATTTTTCTGCTTTGCTCAGCTTTTATTAAAAGAAAAAAAAACCCAAACAGCCAAACCCACGTACTTTGTGTACGTGGCAGAAGCCGTGCTATTAGCAATTAGTTGGAAATACTGGTATTGTAATCTTCAAATCCAGTAATTTTCAAAGTTCAGCACGCACAGACAGGTTGATGGAGAGGGGGATGTGTGATTCTTCTCTGGCACATAAAATGTAATATTAGTTACTTTATTTTTAAGAATCTTAGTTAGAGATTTTGAGATATTTTACTTGACAGCTCTTTAATTCTGCCTCATGTCAGTGTTGTTCGTAGGAATATTTGGTCCCTTCATGGCTGATCTCTCCTGCTCAGGGACAAAAACATTTGTGCTTTGAAGATAGTTTTAGGAGAATATTTGAAAGAAAAGGTGGTGGCTCCTTACTCCACCCTGTGTGCTCTTGAACTGGCTGCGTGCCCGCAGCTTTCCTGCTGCCCATTGTTTGTGACAGTTCAGGTTGTGATCTGTGACAATGCTGCAACGAGCTCCTGTGCCCTGCCTCCTGCTGGAATAGCTGCTTTTCCTCGTCTCTTCTGTCTCAGAGGGGTTTTTGAGTTCCATTCAGTTGCAATGCAGTGATTTTAAACTATTTTTTTTTCTGTACTCTGAAAGCAAGGGGTAATTGTGTAATGGTAAGTGAAGACGCCAAATGCGTATGTGTTACATTGACTGTTTTTTACATGAAAAATAATAATCAGTGTGTATTGCATACATAGGTAGGATACATGGCAGCAAGCCCCTGATTGTCTGAAGCAGTAGAAACATAATTACCAGGTCTATAAGAAATTTCTAGTTCAGTGAAGTCTTGGTTGTGTTGAATGACACACAACTTCAGGAATACCAGCGCTCCAACAAAACTAGTTTTTCTTCTCTGAGCAAAGGTATTGTGTTAAATTTTTAAGCCCTCAGTCTACAGAGGTTTAGATGTGTGTGTAACTTTGACTAGTGGCTGGCTTCATTGGCATGATTAACTGTTTCATATGTAAATGTTGAAGGGTTGAGGTTTTAAACTGGATAGACATTAATTTTGAAGGAGTATTGTTGACTCCCTCTGTGCTCGGTCATTATGTGAGCTAATATGTATCTGAATTCTGAGTTTGCCTGAATGTAGGTTATAGTCCTTTGGTAGCTGAAAAACTGAACCTGCATTTTAATTGTATATTTTAAATCAGGTTAAGATGTAGAATGTCCCTCGAGCCAACTCTCAGTGCATATTATGAGAAATATGCACTCTTGGGTACTTCTATAGAAATAATTTTGACTTTGTTATAGATTAATTAAGAGTACTTTGAAGAAAAAGTCATTCGCTGTGAGTGGACAGGGTAGCTTTATGTTAGTTATGCTTTACATCTAAGGAAATCTTGATTATCGACTTTCTCCTCCTGTGCTCTGGTGGGAGAATTTCCCGAACTGGCAGCTAAACCTTTTCCTATATAGTATATTAATGCAGAAGAAGCGAGGGGAGTTTTTAGCAATGTTAGCAGTATGTAATGCTGTCTGGTTTGAGGTGTAGAACCTGCTTTCTGTTCCATTTTCTTCATGGAGAATCGTATTTCAGCTGTTTATAAAGACACACTTTCCTTAGTGTAGCGTTTGACAAGATAGGGAGGAAGGACACTCATGTACCAAGGAGGCGGTCTTTGAGGGCTCGGAGTACTTAGTGCCCTATGCTTCTAAAACACAAGGCCGTTTTGCTTCCCTTTAAATGCCCATTCATCCTTTCCTAAACATTAGTTTAGCAAGCTCTCCAGAAGGCAGTGCACATACATAGCGAGTTTAGCACTAGGATTGTGTCATTTCTTCTCCAGCTACAGGAGATCTTTAGAACATGCGAGGCCTCATCCTTCTTCTGTACAGTAAGGAGCAGTTTAAATGAGGTTTAAAGTACACACCAAAATCTGTGGTTCTAATTACCTGTTGCACAGGTGGAGCTAGAATTCAAGTTTCCTAACAGCAAGGTTCAGTGTAATGTGAAAGGCAGAAGAAAGTAAAGGAAGATTGTAGGAGCTTTACGGTGTGATAATAGCATAGGGGTCTGGCTCCACATATCTAGGATTCCAAGAGCAACTTTTGTATTCTGATATTCTAATTCTTTTCTTAGTCTGTGCCTCCATCTGTTTGCTTTGCAGTTTTTGACTTACACAAAATGTGTGTCATTTGTGTAGAGCATATTGTATTGATTAAAAAAAAAGAAAAAAACAACAACTTGAGTTAAAAATAATGTTAGTACAGTGCAATGCTAGGTTAAACATTCCCTTTAAAACTGCAAATTTAGAATGTTGGAGATTTATTCATTCACATTTCATATTAAGCAATTCGATTTCTTGACTACAGATAGTGGCATGTGGGGAAAGGGAAAGGAGAGTACTTTTTGAAAGGAATTCTGCCCACGTAGTTGTGCTGGTGAGACAGTGCTGTAAACACCACTGGCAGGAACCTAGAAGAGTTTGACTTTTACAGCCTTGTCTTCAGTATGCTTTCAACAGACGGTTTCTATAATGCAAATTACAAAAAGAAACCCAAAGCTCTGTGGCTGCAGTGAATTGATACAGGCTAGGAACATAAGCATATTGAAAACCTGTGGGGAAAGCTAATTAGTAATACCCTAGGTAAAACAACTGAGTACTAAGTTCATGGTTTTATATGAAGTATTTTCTGCCTTAGCTCATTGTGGACTTCTGAAATAGCTTGAGGACATAATATCTCCATGGGTAGTGGGGTGCTGTTCTGATTTAGTTTTGCAAAAGACTTGGCTGCTTTTGGGGGTAAACTCTATCACTATTATTAGGCTTTTGTTGCACGGCCTTTTCATAGTGCAGAGCAGACTAGAAATAACAAGTCTAATCAGGTCCATGCAGTCTATTGTTAATATGAGTAGCACCAATAAATACCATGTGTAGTGTTCTGTTTGCATCGCTGGGAACCATAGTCACGCTAAAATGATGGGACATTAAAGGACTAAGTCTTGCAAAAAAGAGTCCAGCCCTGCTAGCTTAAATGAGCACTGAGAGTAACAGAGAGATCAGGCTTTCCATAGCTTGAAAGTGCTTGAAAGCAGAAGTCTTATTTTTTCTGAAACACTACAGTACCAATTTTTTATGAAAGGTTATCATTTAAGAAGGACTGTTATCATTGCCTTTATTCAAGTGGGGGTTTTTATCGTGCGATTAAAGTGTCACTGGCCAGCATGATGGCTTCAAGCAGAAGAAAAGGAAGTTGAAGAAAGAAGACCTCTGAGTTAATCCAACTGAGCTCAGTTGAGGTAGCTGAAGCATTTATTTTCAATGATCTAGTTGATGGTGAACACACTTTAGTTAAAGCCTTAGAAATGAGGTAGTCTTTCTGTGTCAGTGTATTGGAACAGTGCGGGAAGTACACCTGGAATTACTGCTGCTCGTGTTTTAAGATTGTGTCGTGATAGATAATATTTTTTTAAAAGAAGAAATTTGTAAGTGATTTAGAAATTATAAAATGAACTGTGCTCATCATTGAGTCTCTCAAATGAAACAAGAAGAAAAGTTGGTTTGGTTTAGCAGTAAGTTTGAGAGCTTGCCAGAGTTTATGCTAGAGCAGCTTTTGGTTATCTCACACTAGCTAAACTTTTCAGGAGTAAATGTAACTCTTTAATTTTACAAGTCATCAGATTAATGCGTGCTTTATAGCACAAATCAAAATTTCAGGCTGTTTTCTCAACTATACCACCAATTAAAATTGAAAATAAAAACCAGTGATGCTCGTAGTTGAGGCTTCCAAATGGCATTTCTGTCAGTATTGTCCTTTGATGCATTTAGCTCAACATAATTATATGTGTAAGTTTTCAGTGTTAAAAATCAACCTCATAAGTATTTCCAATAATTCTGAGTAGCTGTATATCTGTTTCAAGTACAGGGTGATGTTGGGTCAGCTGGGTCATAGAGGTGATATTTGCATTTCTGTTCTGCATACCAGACAGT